TCAAACTGATCACTACGCAGCCCGGGGCAAAAAGGCTATGTACTGCTGCAAAATTGTCCATGGCATTTGGTTTGGGTTTTTTACTGACTCTGAATTTTCCTGTCCATTGTTGGTCAGTATCATCTCCTCCCCCTGAAACCCTACAGTGTAGGCCAGGAACAAGGAGACAGTGCTAGTTAAGTGGAGGCAAATGCCAGGGCTCTCTGCTTTGCACCCATCAGCCTGTCCTGGTCAAAACACTCTCTCAGGAAGGGAATTCAGGAGCCATTCCTCCCTGGCTGCCCCCAATCAGGGAAAAAAGGGCATTCTCTACTCTGAGACCAGCGGTTTTAAAACTCATGTTGGAATATTTGTTTTAACAACAGAATCTGAGGAACAAAACATCCTGGTAGAAGCATTTGTAAAAATCACCAGACTCAGGATTCTAGCAGAGACCCCATTTCTTTTGTGAAAGCCTGTCAGGCCATTCTAATCCCTGCACTCTGATGTATAGAAGGCTCCGGCTGTGTTTGTGCACAAGCACTAGAGGGCACATGATCCCTACTAGCATCACATAGAGCAGAAATAACAGGCTAGAGCACTTCAGGTGCTTTGCCATTTTCCAGCTCTTCTTTCCAAGGGAAAATGGAAATCCTAAACTGTTCCCCTGCAAAGGGATCCCTGCACATGAGAGACTGTAAATCTGGGGAACACACTCCCAGGAGACAGCCTAGGAGCCCTGAGGAACACTTTGCAGACAGAGTAGGAGAAGCCCATGCATAAATCAAAAAAGCCAGGACCTCTGGGGGCAGTCACTTCCAGCTTCACACTCCTCTCTGCTTACCTTGCTGCAGAGATGAGGCCTCCTCAATTTCTTCAGCTGTCATGCTCTGTAAAAAGGAAGAGCAAAATTATCTCTGCATGCTAGACTCCTTTGCCCTTGGATTCAATATCCTGTAGTACTGCTCACAGGAGAGCTGTACCTAACATCAGTTAGATACAGCTGATGCCCTAATAGAGGATGCCCTAATGATATGCACATTAGCATATCATTGGCTTGGGGAACAAGGGTGTCTATCTCCTTAGGCAGAAAACATCCCTCTGGCAGCAGCAGAGTAACTTCTGGAGGTTCCCCAACATCAAAGATGCTGTAGGGTTCCCACACTCCAGCATACCCACCCAAGTTCCCACACTCTATATCCACTTCTGGGGAAGGAAGAGGAAGCTGACATAGCTCCTTTGCTAGCGTTGATGGCACTCGGCCTTTGTTGTATTCTCTTGCGGTAGGGCATGGGGAACCAAGGCTTTTTTGCTATGAGTGAATCTCAGTCTTAATACACACTGGCTACAGCATGAGACACTGGTCGTGCCCAGCTGGGTTTGTGAACAAACCTTGGGAAACAGTTCACCAAGGGGCTAAGAACCAGGAGGTGCACTGCACAACAAACTACAAATATTACCAGTGTTAAAAGGTCTCACACACAGTGCCCTGGGCCTTTTCATGCCTTTCACTCTGGTAGAAATGTCCCATTACAATATTGTTCTTTGTTAATGGGAATAGAAGGAGAGTTTAAAACAATAACACACTTTGCCCTCTCCAATTAACGCTTGTTGCACTATGCAACCCTGGGCGAAGGCATTCTGATCACTCCCATGATCAGGTAACAAAAAGGGCTCCTTCTCACATAGGCAGCATAGGAAAGTCACGGCACAAAGAGAAGGTTGGCAGAGACCCAGTAGAGTTAACATAGGAAAGGAGTAATGTCCTGTGCTTCTCTGGAAGGTCCCCATCTACACCAACTCCAGCCCCCTTTGCATACGTGTACTAAAAGGTTTCAACCAAAGCAGCTGGCTAAGTCCTGGGATTCCTGATGTACAACTTCCCCAGGCCATTCCCTTGGTCCTAAAATAGGGGAGTAGAGTGGCCCTAGCATGTTGCTCTGAGCCCACAGGTCAGGAAGCTGCCAGGGCACCTGCAGCAGAGTTTAGAAGGGGGACTTACTTCTGGAGAGCTGCCCTCTCTCAGAACCAGCTCAGCACCACTCAGTGCTGGCTGGGAGTCGGAGTCCTCTGACAGCTTCTCCTCATCTTCTTCATGGATTGGAGATGAAGGAGATCTTAATGTACTGGGGAAGAAGATGAGAGAGAGATTCAAGTTACAAAAAGCTGCAACGCATGTACAGTAAGTTCTAGTCCCGTAAGTGCTTTCCAGCTATGAGACTCAGATACCAGGTACATAGAGTACCACAGAAACTGGAGCCACACACTAGGGCAGAGACCAGCAGCCAAGTGGTGCACAGACAGGAGGGAAGTGTAATGTATGGCCCATCACAGAGAGTTCTAGAAGAGCTTGGCACCCTCTCAGAGGGCCCTATCGCCCAGCTCCAAAGGTTTCATAGTTTCATAGATTTACGGTTGGAAGGGACCTAGTAGATCTTCTAGCCCGACCTCCCGCCAGGGCGGGAGAACAACAAAACCCCAAAACAAAAACGGGACTCAAATGAGTCCAGCCAGGTAGGCATCCAGCCTCTTCTCAAAGACCCCCAGGGTAGGGGCCAGCACCACTTCCCTTGGAAGTTGGTTCCAGCTCCTAGCCACCCTAACTGTGAAGTAGTTTTTGCGGATGTCCAATCTATACCTCCTCTCCATCAACTTGTGCCCATTACTCCTTGTTATGCCAGC